TTATCTTATCTTATCTTATCTTATCTTATCTTATCTTATCTTATCTTATCTTATCTTATCTTCATATGCTCGATGTAGATCGATATCATTTGCCCATCTAATATATCACAGACTTGTGAACTGAATTGAATCTAAATCTTATCATGACACTGTGATATTGAGAAACATCGTTTTGTAATGGAAACAAATCAATATACAATATACAGTATATCTAGACCACAATGCATCAGAAAACACTGACTGTAAGCATTAGTATAGAAGTTAATTCATGTCAAACCTTGAGCAATCAGTGGGCTTGAAGGAGAAGACAGCAGAGGCTTGGACCTGCTCCACCGGCAGCACCTCTGTCGGCTTATAGTCGGGGTTTGAGGAGTCCTTGTTGAAGCAGTCCAGTCTTTCATTCCCCCTTTTTTTGCAGCATTCATAGAGCCGGTCTTTCACCGACAAGTCTTCCTCACAGAACAAGTGCACCGAACGCTCCCACTGTAAGGAGATAAGATCATTTTATCTGTGTAGCGCTGTTTGTAGACACAGATCACAAAGTGCTTCACAAGGAGCAAAACTAAAATAAATACAAACATAATAAAAAACCAATAAAACAAGTTAATGTAAAACATCGTCATACATTTAGCTAAAAGCTTGTCTGAAACTGTCTCCCAACAAATATAAGGGAATGTCCCAATTGTTACACATTTAACATGCATCTTAAAGAGTTTCTTATAAGCTCCCAGTTGTAATGTTTATCAAATAAAGTTTAAAGTTACAACTAGTCATGGATCCCTTTAACACTGAGTTTATGCTGCAGCTGTATTTGTGCAGCTCCATGGTTTTCTGCAGTCCTGGTATTCATACCAAAAGCATTTTGTTATGTTTAACTGGGTTTATCTAGTGAAAACAGCCAGAGGCCTTCAGCTTTGGAAAAATGCAGGAACCATCCTCCGGAATGTGAAGAATGTTTCTTTATTAAATGGTTTCAAAACATGCAATCAGTAAAATCTCTTACAGTGTGCTTCTCACCATCGCTTGGCTATTGTACCAAGTGTGTTTAGAGTCTAAACTGCCAATCAGGAAGAATCAAAACAAATAATAATTACAACACAAAGGACACCAAACTGCTGAACTGCTACAAAAGACTGGTTGTGTAAAAACTTACAGCCAGTGTGGCGCAACACAGTGCCCCCTCTACTCCCAGCGTCTGGTTTAACTGGCAGCACGTACTGAACCAGGACTCTGCGTTGTTGACAGCTGCAGCCTTTCGCTTCTGCTTGCTAAAGAAGGAGCGAGGGAAGTAGGAGTCTGGGTAGCGGGGACGGTGGTCCCCATGGACACAGATGGCCTGGATGTTGTCCAGTGTTGGACGGCCGAGAGGAAACTGAACTGGGTAGTCCACAGGCAGACGACCAAAAGAACGAGGCCCGAAGCTGGGAGGACCTGTGCAGGGCGAGAGAAGACGTGATGTTTATTGTAGGTCTATTTAAACAGGTGGAGGTGTGTTGAGTGTGTTCTGAAAAAAGAAATCAGGAACGATGATACGTACGTCCCACTGGTGTCAGACCCAGTCCTGGAGGAAAATACCCTGGTCAGGAGGAACAGATGGCATGTCAAACTGTACTGATAGGAAAATAAGGTCCAATCAGAGTGGATGGTGATGGATGGATGGATGATGGATGGATGGATGGACGGATGGATGGATGGATGGATGGATGGATGGATGGATGGATGGATGATGGATGGATG